AAAGACCACCTAGAGAAAGTGACTGTAAGTTGATCCAACCATTACTCATTGGTATTATAGAAGATTTAAAGGATGCTCATAGGTTCAGTAAGAGGGATTAGGATATTCGGTGCAAGCACAGGTATTTTGAATTTTAAAAATTGACAGAAGATAAATCACTACATCCTAAGAGCCGTTTGTGATTTAACGATAAAATAATCATTCATCCAACATTCAGATCTAGAGTACTAGATGACCTTCATTCCGTCCATCTGGGAGCAGAGAAAATGAAATTATTTGCACCAGTTCCCTCAAGATTACAGGTACACTTTGCTGACGAGTGACAAGTAGCACGAAACCCGGGTCCAGTGTTTCCTGTTGACTACCTTCAACCACCATCTAATTCAACATAGTGCACGCAATGTCGAGTCATCTAAAATAGTTGACACACTGCATCTTGGTCGATACCATTCGATCTGCACTAAGAATGAATTGACACACATAACAGTGATCACCACCCAGTGATCAATCAGTTGTGGTTATCCGTATTTCTCAATGCATCTTTGATGTCCAGATTATTGTGCATTTCAGTTCGCTTGTGTGGGTTAGGAACGGTTAGGTACATTCTTTTCACTTCTGCTGATTATTCTAATCTCGGGCGGCCAACCTATTAAGGTTCTGTGAAGTGCAAGCCCCAGTCACTTCACATGTTCGATCTCTTGTAGTAGGCGTCTGGTTTTGGTCAACTATTATCACCACTACAGGAAGACTACGTGCCAGTTACCAGGTTATACCTCTCTGTAGACTAAATATCAGAGGGCAGTTGAAGGTTGTTGTAAGATGTATTTGTTGGCAATCTCATGGTATCGAAATAACCCCGAGATGGTGCTAAAATCCACAAGCGAGAATACTGAGCTTACGAGAGATCGTGCAAGGTCACGAACGAAGGAAGAGTGTCTTTTTTAGTACACTTAAACAAAGAAGTACAGTAAAACAATCATTGGTACAATTGGTTATAACAATAGTTGTTTCCGTCACACTAATCGCGTTCTTTTCATAAAAGTAGGTCAATTCATGAGCCCTCTGCTAGTAAGGATTTACACTTTCGATACGTAGCGATTTCGTTCATGAGGCAGATTGCAAAAGTGAGATTGTAGGACGAAAGGGTTGACAAACAGGAAGCGATCGTTGGTCCTCGAGTTGTCGTCGCATATCTTTTATGTAGGACGGTACCAGGAGTAACATGCTATATTTGTTGCTCGAGTTAGCGTACCAAACCAGAGTGGTTTGTGTCCAGAATCTGAGAATTGCGTTTGAAGGAACCTGGACTAGAAAGCGCTGCAGAAGTAGGACGGAACCATATTGGGCCATAACAATCACGTTCGAGACCAAACATATGCCAGACAAATTTGAAACCAGAACATCGAATGAGTGCGTCGACAAGAGCGTGGGTGATCAGGCCAGCTTTCGCCAAAATTGACTGAAGTCGACAGTAACAACAAGACAATGGTCGGAGGCGTGGGCTCAGGATTCAGAATTCGAAGAAAAAGAGGTGTAGCATGCATGTGGTGTAGGGATAGAGTCCTATACCGTATCCATTGGTGACTGAGAGGTTTGTCGCGAAGGCGTACGGGTGGGTGTACTTGGTGACCGGAACGTGAGACGGTAGTCTTGTTCGTACCTCATGGGACTGCGATTTCATCCGAAGCCAAGGGCGGCGTGGTTTGTTTGTCTGAACGTGAGATTGACGTCTGGTCCGTAGATGGTGTAGATGACACGTGCTGTTGACTGGGACGTGAGAATAAGGTATGTAACGGAAAGAGAACGATGAAAATCCCTCTGCAGCTTCTTTGTTGAACAGTATTTTCATTTATTTGTTCCTTCTCCCTTCCGTGTATTCTAACCTTTGTTCCGATCTCGTTTAACCATATCTTTTGTTCTTCAGTCTTCCTCGTGTGAGCCTTTATTATGTGATTTTGATTAAAGACTTATCTTTTGCTACCTAATTTTCTATTGCATGTTGTCGGACCATTGACAGTAGGGGCTTATTTGACCTGCTGTTACGCGACGCTTCAAACAACCAACTCTGACCGACGTAAAAGTGAAATCTCCGTTGACATTAACAGGAGGAGTAGTACCACATGGTACTGACATTGTTAATAATGCACCTTTAGTGGGAACCGAAAGAGTTGTGATCATTCATGAGACTCGGTCATTAATCTGGGAGCAGCAAACCGTAATGCCTTGCGGCCTACGCCTGCAAGACTCGACTACGCGAAAACCCACTAGGCGGGAGTTTTCTTTACGAAATCCTAGCTCAGCTCGCGCCGCTTTCATTTTTATTATATCTTCTGGAGATATGCGGTCCGTAAAGAATGTGTGTGAAGTATTTGAATCCCAGAAATAATGCAATTTATACCAAAGAGAACTAAACGAACACAAACGAACGTGTTGTATTTGATGTCCGAAATCAGAGATATATCAAGTACAAAGAAATCATTAGTTCATGCCAACACCACAGAATGTTAGCTTAATCTTGACTTAGAACACTAGCTGACAAATCATATCATTTTCCTCCACTGCTAGGATCAATTTAAGGATTTTACATAACCCTGGTCCGACATTTCCTTCTGTCCTCTTATTCGATAGGATGCCACAAACAAATGCTCCGGCCTTTTCCAAATCATACGCTGGTCTAATTTTTGAACGAAAGTCGTTTGATCACATTGAATTGCTCAAAATAATATTCGGTGAGATCAAGCTTTTTCCAGCCACAATAGGGTTAAGTCTTAATTCGTTGAATTCGGCGCTGTTCGGGTGTCTACCAAGAACCTTTTATCAAAACGGGCGCTGTTTCTGTCTATTTTTTCCCCCTTCGTTTACGCACTGTCCTTTATTTCTCTTCATTCAAGACAGCCACATTTGCACTAAATGGAACAATCGAAACACATAGTGAAAAGGATACTGAAAAGAAATAAAAAACATTCTTACGATATATCATGCTGCCATTACCCCTGGTGATCTAAACATGCCACAGTACACCCAGTACAAGACCAGACCTGCATACCACCACACTACAGAAAACAGTCCAGGCACGGTTGGACAAATAGTGAGCCAAAAGGTTTTTGAAATGTAATTTCATCTCCCTCAATAAATTGCAAACGTTCATCATCAGAAATCTGGCAACCATTGTCAAGAGAAGTGTAAACAATTACACTAAGCGCCTAGTATGATGCGAGTGCTACGCAAGCAATAAGTGTCTTCTCAGTATGCATTTAAGAAGTAAAGTGGGGTATGTTTAACTTGTCGAGCAAATAGTTTCAAAGAAACACAAAAATAGTTGCCTTGTAACTCAAAGTCGATCTATAAGCAATAATAAAAGTGGTGATGTTTAAATTATGATTTGAAGGGGTTTTAGACACAAAATCCCATTGTTCTTTAACGGAAGTTATTTAATTGAAACAGGATAATGTTCGTGTAAAGCAGCTTAATTAGCCTATTCTATACGGTTAATTTGGCTGTAGTGAGGTGTTCGATCAATGAGTAACAGAATCAAAGCACACAACATGTACTAACGGTTTAAACACTGAACAATAATTCAATCCCTCACATAGTCTATGACTGCAACCTAGATACGTACATATGTGATAAATGAGTTTAAACTCTTGTAGGCCGGTCGGTAAGTTCTGACTTAGTATCGTGGTTGGCTTGCCAGTTACAATAGTCATGATTGAGGGATAGAATAACCCTACATGTTGACTGACGTAAACCTAAAAATCCATCAGATCAAGGAGAAATAACTCCACAAATCGGCGTATGTGAGAGTTTTTACAGTCAGTAGGTACAGTAGGCTGAAAATATATCATTGTGATAATAAGGACGACCACGACCTTATGGTCTTTAAATCGTCTATTTGTCAAAAACTAATTACTAGTAGACTAAGTTGTACTTTAATTAATTAGTCGTGCCAGACGGTGGTTAATATGTTACAAGCACTGTAACTATGGAATACATATCACTAGGTAATTTATTAGCTGTTTCGGCGAGACCATAACGTCGTCCATAAATTATAGTCTCACCGAGCCATTTTCTAGGATGAAACTAAGCTACGTAAACATGGGGTTGCTAGCAAGAGCCTAGTAGCTTTTCAGACGCAGAGTTTTAAAACCATATGTTAGTGATAGCCAACTTGAGTCCTGGCACAAATCTTCGTTAGCCCGAATCCCCGTACCATATAATCATAACGAGATGTATAACAAACGAATGGGAATAATTGTAGTAATTGTAGTGATCGAGTGGACTCCAGCCAAGTAGTTTATATCTACCAGCATAACATAGACCAACCGTCAACCATGAATGGATGTCACTTTTTGGTTTGACCATCCCTGACACCATGCCAATCTACTTATACACCATCTAAGTGTGCGTCGAGGTAAACAGTGATTAAGCATAAGTGGCATATTTTCCAACTGCTTCAGTCGATGATGATTCACAACCTTGTCAGTCAGTTTTTCATGTTTGTATGGTACCCTATGTGTAGCCGCCTCACTGTCACTCGGTCGTTGGACGATATGTGGACAATATTTTGAAGGGATCCGTGATCAGAAACGTGCTCCCCACTTATATCTTCTATTTTCATACAACACGCTTTCTCACTTAACCCACAAGTGACTCAAGTTGACAAAAGCCAGCAGTATTTATTAATTCTGGTCATTTACTTTAACATCAAGCTATGTGATCCCGTTTCTGAACTATCTAGTACTGTTCATCTATCAGTTGTATGTAGTTACCGGCATAAATAGTTGGTTTTCAGGCCGTTAACATTATGAAATGGCCTTTTAGTTCATCTTTTCAAGAGTAATAACAATTACAAACGTTTGTTCAGTTTTCTAGTTTGTTAACTATTCCAAATAAATGTTGGAAATAAACTGTTTCAAGCTTATCTTATCTTGAAGTGGTGCTAAAGTTATTTCGGATATTTCAATTATTTATATTTTCTTTACATTTCAGATGGGATTTAAATGACTTCTGATGTACGAAATTTCTCTTGCTCAAACAACCCACAGAACCCCATTGCGTGAGTCCTTTCATACTTCAATTTTGATTTCTGACTACCTTCCATGCCCCGTCAATAAAATATGAATTCATAGCTTTCTAAAATTTTCAACTCAACTTTTATGAAATATTTCTACCTTAATTTTGTCGATCAATCAAGTTTAATACTATAAGCATTTTAGACTAAAAGCAAACCGTATATTTTTGTCACAAGGATGTTGACGACTTCAGTAAAAACCACAAAATCGTCAAGCGCCTAGTTCATTTAAACCTACAATAGTGCTATGGAATGACTCACTAATTAATTACCTGACAAACTGAAACAAGTACTAGTTATTATTTGATTGTCAAAGTATTGTAAAGAAATCGTTCTGTTCACTATACAGTCCAATGAATATGCGAGTTTAGGTCATAATATCTTTATGTTAAAATGTTTACGGTACATCTATCCTATCCTCTTCAAAATACTCCTTATATTTGACATAAGATTTGTCTCATATGCTTCCATTGTCCCAAACATGTGTGAATGTTATGAAAAGCCAGTTTCTTCAGCCTCTCCGTCGTTTCCAAACTGGAATCGTGTGTTCAGATGGCTTTCCCGAATCGAGTTCATCAGCAGTCGTTTTGAAAGAATCAATAATTTCATAATTAACATCCTTGCACGTTCTAATTGTTGATGTGGTATCTTATAAGTTTCACCAATTTTCTGTTTGTATTGTTGCAGATTGACTTCTGAAGAGGTTAGTGGGAAAATTCCACGCATGTTTTAAAGGTTTCCGGTCTTCGTAAAATAATTGTCGTTTAAACTCTTATCCCAGTCACTAAAAGCCACTAACTTGAGTCAACTAACCATAAATTTTCCATATTACTCAATAGCGTCGACTCACATTTATAATCATCACTTTATTGTTTTATCTAATTTGTTCAGTGTAGTGATTGAAATCGAAAACTGGCCATTCATTTGTAAATTCTGTTGATCAGAATCTAAAGTTAACAGTGATAGGGAAGGCAACATAATCTAATGCAAAACCATACCATTTTAGAATTCCTTGTCCGTTTTTGGTTTAGAAACCCTTAATATATGATAACCTCTTATTATGCTACTCAGAATAACCGTTAGTGGATGTAATTTCATAGCCTCATCGACTATTTCTTGTTGTATAGAACTCTTCGCCTAAATTAGTTATTCAGGCACACATCAATAATCTTTTGACGATAACTGTGATATAGTGCTCTCAGGCACCGTTTATCCTTTTCTTCGACTTCCGTTTTCCATAAGGAGCTTCGTAAGTGATATAGGTGGATAGTTTCGAAGCAACCCTTTTATATTTATGGGAAGATTCTTCGACAATCCGTGAACGGCGACTCGACTCCTTAAGTAGGAAAAAAGATCAACTCGCTGATTAGTGTGCACCGTTAATAGGGCAAGATAGGTACTAAAGATATATAGATGAGTACACATATCAACGTGTTTTCTCCATGGTTTAGATTGTACATTATCTTCTTTGAAACTTAACTGCTTGGTGAGAACAGATTGTTAGCTAATAACACATATACAGTTAATTCTTAGGTGTGTCAAAATACGTTTTTAGATATACACTGAACTAGAATATCAAATGATTCTGTGGCAGTGTCTGTCATTGAAAGGCACACCTCAGAAGTACATAAACCTTGTAAAGGCTCTTTACTCGAACACTACTAGTCGAGTTAGCTTATGGCGAACTGTCATCTGCTTTTCCAACCTCAAGTGGTGTCCGTCAAGGCTGTCCACTTTCTCCATTTTTGTTTTTCATCATAGACCTACTGATGGAAATAACATTCTCTTCGACTGAATTCTCGGGTATTGATCTCCTTCCAAGAAATCCACTTATCGACTTAGAATACGCAGATGAAATAGTCCTGTTTGGTGAAGACCCTAATAAAATGCACAGTCTTTTGGTAGCACTAAGCAACAATGCCAGAATGTTTGGAATGCGCTTCTCTCCCTCGAAATGCAAGTTTTTGCGTAAGGACTGGTCTGCGTCAACACCTGAACTAAGGATAGGGAGTGAAGTAGTCGAACGCGTCGACAACTTAACTTATCTTGGAAGTCTGATCAGCCCTAATGGGTTGGTGTCTGACGATTACCACGACGTGCAATGCTGTTTGGTGTTGTAGATGGTTGGAAGAAAGTGAGGGTGGTCAAACCAAAACGTGGCATCAGTGCTTGAAGTCACTAACTTCTAGTCTGAGCCATGTTGGGAGATGCAGACTACTTGGTTGGGATCCGCGTGAGTATCGAACCAATGGTTGGAAACTCTTGGTGACACGGCTCAGAATCGATCACAATGGCGTCGGTGTATACACTCTTTATCTTCCCTTAAACTAATAGATTAAAATCACTTCATATCTTTCTTTCTACGACCTAATTCTTCCTTCCTGTACTATGTTCTTATATGTAATCTTTCTTTTATATATTACCACCATTGACTTAACCACTCTTATGAATTTGGTGTTCATCTTGTTGTGCTAATGCGGTATGGCAACTTGGAGCGATGCATATATATGCCTGGTCCTACGTTTTAGCTGACTGACTGACTGAGAATATCAAGTACGATACCCTCAGAGTATCCGGCTAACAGGTTACTGAACATTTATTGCTGCATGTGTCTAAACATTGTATCTAATTCTACTTTCTATATTTGGGCAAACGTCAGTCTTTATACTGATTTTTACATTTTATGTCGCTAAATTATGTGCTCTAGAAATCATCGAACCAGCATACCTCCGGAGTTGAAAACGATTTCAAGATTAAATACAAGTGGCAACTCATTTGTATCCAGTACAGAAGATCAACTACGTACTCATCAACAAACCTTAGAACACTGGCTTTTGAATGCTGTGATCCATACATTTGCTAAATTCTCATCAAGTCATAAGGTAAATTTGTTTCCGTCTTATGTATTCTTTTTCCCAAAGCGAAAACGTTTATAATTCGTCCATTGTAATGTGGAGGCGTGAAGGGTTATGAATGTCATTTTGGCAAAGTTTATTTACATCCAAATTTTGTTAGTTCTATGTTAGGCTGTCCTCCAGTTGCTTATTATTATTATTTATTTGAACACATAAATATTAGTACAAAAAGGCACCGAATACATATGCGCCGCACAAGCAAATTGATTTGTGTGTGGATTGTGATACTACCCGGGTGCCCAAACCGAAGCAGGTGGTCTTCTTAGGGGGCCACATCCGGAGCCTTCGACCTAACGGTCTGATCCACAAGGCGATGTAGCAACATCAGGAGATGCAGTCCCATGGTAGCCAGTGACCAACAATTGGTTCATACACCATTTGTTCTCTCAGAGCCCATGTGCACCATCGGTTTTGAATCAGGGTTTTCCAACTCCCATAGATAGATCCTCTCTACCTACCGACCCAGCTAAATCGCCGAAAATTCGCTCTTCGTCCTCTCAATTTCGTAGATAACACCCCCTCCACGAGAAGGTAGTGAGTAGGACTTCTCTGTCAGTGGCTGTATACGCGTGACCATGTGAGGGCATTTTGAGAGAGAGAGCTAACTCTTCCCACCCTCGGCCGTACCAGGGGGCAATCTTAGATTTTTGTTATTTAAACAAGAGAGCGCCAATATATATATGCGCCACACAAAACAATGAGAATTCGAAGAGAAGTAGAAAAAAAAACTAAGGAGCGCAAAAGAAAAAGAGAACAATGACGAAGAGATTGGAGTAAGGTAGTGTGGTAGTAACGACGGAACGAAAAGGTACAATCAGAAGAAATCTTTCAAGTAAAGGAGACACAACCACTTTTTATGAAGAAAGTAAAAGAAGGTTACAGCGGGATCGCCACTGGCTTCTATTCTGAGCCATATCTGATAATGTCTCTAGCCACTGTGTAGCACCATCTCTCAGACCCCAACCAGGGAGTCGTGAAGGACCAACAGAAGCCAGCCCTTTGCAGCTTTCTTTCATACCACGACACCATGTCATGCACTGACCACCTCTCCGCTTCTTCCAACCAGTCCCAGAGTCGGCAAATAATGCACGACGTGGAATTCTCTGGGACGACATTCGTAGAACATGTCCAAGCCACCGAAGTCGATGTTTCAAGATGGTGACACCAATTGAATTATCATCTCTGTGCCCCAACACACGATGCCGAACCTCTGCATTACTGACATGGTGTTGCCACTGAATGTCAGCAATCCTTCGGAGACAACGATGATCGAACACAGAGAGTCGTCTAACGTCCTCAACTCGGAGAGGCCAGGTTTCACAAGCATAGAGCAAAACTGCTCTCACCGACGCGTTGTAAATCCGACCTTTTACGGCCAGACTAACATCACGAAGGCGCCATAGATGGCCCAGATTGGCATAAGCCTCTCTGGCTTTCACTATACGTGCATTGATCTCATCACTCACACCCCCACCAGCACTTATGCAGCTACCCAGATACACGAACTTCTCGACTACGTCTATCTGCTCACCATCCAGGGTGAGTACAGAATTAGAATCCTGCCAGTCTTGTAGAAGTACTTTGCACTTCGAAGGTGCAAAGCACATACCATACCTACGGACACTGATTGCCAACTGATTAAGTGCGGATTGCATGCCTTGGGCATTATCGCACAGTAAGACAATATCATCAGCATACTCAAGGTCGAGAAGTCTTTCTCCATGCAACAGATCCACACCACCATTACTTACATTCATCAGAGCTGTTTCCAGAATGTCATCGATGGCAAAGTTGAAGAGGAATGGTGAGATTGGGCAACCCTGCCTAACCCCACTGCTCGGATGGAACAATGGAGAGAGGTGGTTGTATGCCCTCACTCTGCCTGAGGTGTTTTTATATAGGGCTTTCAGGATGTTAATAAACTTCTCAGGCACACCCTTCTTCAATAGACAATCCCAGAGAACAGTCCTATCCAACGAATCGAAGGCAGCCCTGATGTCAAGAAACACTACGATTGTTGGCCTTTGAAAAGTATGGCGGTGTTCTAACATTTGGCGGAGGGTGAAGATATGATCAATACATCCTCGACCAGAACGAAACCCAGCCTGCTCCTCGCGAGTCAATCTTTCTCGGGTTTTGAACAACCTACGAAGAATGACGGAAGCCAATAGCTTGGACGCAATCGGAAGTAGACTTATCCCCCGATAGTTGTTACAGGAACGACGTGAACCCTTTTTAAAGATAGGGACAACTATCGACTCATTCCATGACGTTGGTACACTCTCTAGTTCCCAAACCTTTGTAAACAACGTCATCAATTCCTTAGTCAAAAAGTCACCACCATCTTTTAAAAGAGCCGGAGGTAAGTCATCTGGGCCAGGTGATTTGTAACGCTTCAAGAGTTGGAGTTCCCTGCGGACTTCCTCCTCATTTGGTGGATCAGTCGTCACCGGCCATGGAGGGCAGGACAGTCTGACCGATGTTACCGGAGCAGCAGGCCAGTTGAACTGCCCTTCGAAAAATTCTGCCCATCGTATAAGACGTCGATGGATGTTAGTGATTGGCATCCCATCATCCTCGCAGATTGTTTCACTCACACCAGACTTCTTGCTGCCAGTGGCTCGGATGAGCTGGAAGAGCTTCCGGTAGTTACCAGATGCAGCTGCTGCTTCCAGCTCATTAGCACGCATCGACCACCGGGCTTCTCAGCCCTTACGCAAGCTTTGCCCAATTTCACTACGTAACAGCCTTCGTTTATGGTCAAACTCACGGTCACCCGGAGTAGACCGACGGGCTTCAATGAGTTGTAAGGAACCTGGAGAAACCCAGTGCTTAAAAGCGGGACGTTTCGCAAACCCACAACTGACTGTTCCCGCCATTTTCATGGCGTCATGCAATTGCAACCAATGCTCATCTATACTTTTCGGTGGAGTGGTAGCTAGCCTAGAGGCTAGCTCGGTTCGATACTTACTTGCAACAGAAGTTGCAACCAGCTTGCTAACATCAATCCGTTGATGGCGTTCACTTCGTTGGCCACTGAAAAGTAAGGCAAGACTGGCGCAGACCAAGGCATGGTCAGAGTCCAGATAGGTACTCCAAAAGGAGCGGCAGTCTTTTACACAACCACGCCAGCGGTAGCTGATCGCGATGTGATCAATCTGAGTCCAGGCTTGAGATGCAGAGGGAGGACGCCAGGTGGCACATCGGCGATGACTGTGCCGAAACTTAGTGCTAGCCAGAAACAGGTTGTGGTCTGTGCAAAGTTGCAGTAGACGGTCCCCATTATCTGACCTGCGACCAACGAGTCCCCATCGGCCACCTAAACGACTCTCTTCTGTGTCTAGACGCCCGACCTGAGCATTCAAGTCTCCGGCCAGTACTACAATATCTGTCGAACGCACTTTCTGGAGAAGAACAGATAACTGGTGGTAAAACTCATCCTTGATTGCATCCGGGCTGCAATCTGTCGGGGCATAGGCGGAGATGACGAAAAGACATCGTTTCTCACGCCGATTTCTTCTCACTTTGATGGAACTTTCTAATCTAACAGCACATAACCGACTGTTAATGGGGATCCAATCGACTAGTGCTGCCTCAGCTCTAGCGCTTAGTGCGACACCAACGCCAGCAAGACCAGACGAAGATGCCACAGGGTCCCCGGATAAGCGCACGTAAAACAAGCTTTTCGAAGCGACAGATGGAGATCGAATTTGTAGTACTTCACCAGAGTCTTGAATACGGGTCTCGGATAGACAACAAACATCAATATTAAGACTTTCCAAAGACATAGCCAGCTCTATCTGTTGTCCAACCTGAATAAGTGTGAGAACGTTGAAGGCAGCCAGTTTGAATGGTGCACGTGGTTTCAGAAAAACTGCTTCAGTCCTCGTATTCGGTGGTAACATACAATTTTCAACCGGACAGTGACCCGGGAACGTTTAGATAGAGTCAAATTTCCACCATAGACGAGCCGCTGTATAAGTATAAAAGAGGGTGAATAATGTGGAAAATAATAATAATAATAATAATAATAATAATAATAATAATAATAATGACAATAATAGTAGTAATAATAATAATAGTATTAATAATGACAATAATTGTAATGATAATAATCTGAATCAATTGTTTGTTTTTCAAAGCGAGAAAGGTAATTTCCATAGGCATAAAGAGTTCATCAATTTGTGTGTGGGCTGTGATACTGCCCGGGTGCCCAAACCGAAGCAGGTGGTTATCTTAGGGGGCCACTCCCCAAGCCTTTGACCTAAAGGTCTAACCCACAAGGCAGTGGAGCATCGTAAGGAGATGCAATCCCATGGAAGCCGGTGACCAACGATTGGTTCATACGCCATTTGTTCCCGCAGGATACTGGAGCCCATGTGCACCATTGATTTGGAATCCGGTTGAAGCGCCGGACATTCGCTTTTCGTCCTCTCATTTTCGTAAACAACACCCCCGCCACGAGAAGGCAATGAGTAGGACTTCCTTGGCAGAGGCTGTATACGCGTGGCCGTGTGAGAGTATTTCGAGAGGGAGAGCGGACTCACCCCACTCTCGGCCGTACCAGGGCATTCAGGGGGCAAACAATAACGGGGCGGATTTGCATGCATATAGCATACAATTCTCTTTGAACCTAGCACACAACAATAGCGTCATGCACTGTCCCATCGCCCTTGGCAGATCAGGCAACCCGAAAGTTACGAGAACACCATCAGGGCATACGACAGGCTAGGTACCCCTATTTATTTAAACAAGCAGTATACAATTTTCTATCTTATACAAACATGCTTCAGCTCATATCTCCTGTGTCTTACTACCTCACGAAAAGGGAGTTAAAGTAGAGAGATGTATTACAGCCAAGTAAAAGAAGGGTATCCAAACGATCAGTAGTGTATTGAACCATCCTACCATTAATTTATTAACACTTCTTTGACTCCATCCAAGAAACTTTCACGTCTTTGCACGAA